TGAAAGTTTACACTGCTTGCAAATGTAAATTGGGATTAATATTTAAAAACTAATTAATACAACTAAAGTAAAATCTGTGGAAAATTAACAATAAAATATTTTTTTCGCAAAATCTATTTTATTTCTCAAAAAAACATGGGTAACATTTATTCGTCGCCGCGCTGTACTTTCGACTTTGCAACTCACAAAAAATATTCTAAATAGTTAGCTTATAAGTATTAAATATCAAGAACTTAACTGTATAGAAGATATTGCTTATTGTAGTGCATAGTTTGCCAATTAGATAAACATAAAAAAATGCTTCCAATAGATGTTTTCTTTAAACAACATATGTATGTGTGACTTAGTTTCTAAGTGCCAGTCTTTCATTGTCCGTTTAAACTTATAACGTAAATTGGATTCATAATATTTAATCTGGGCTATCGCTGAAACCATCGTAGTCCGATTTACTTATGCACTCAAAGTGTATGCTTCGTTCGCAGCTATTCGGATTCAGTGATAGCATCATCGTAGATTTCGCGAAAATTCGGACTACGACGGATTAGTTGTGGCCCTGAATATCGGACTGACACTTGATTGGCTAATCCTACCTTAAGCTAAGCTAAGTTTAAACCACAGCTGCGCACTTAAAAACTGGTCCCGAAATTTAGTAAGATACATTTGTATAAAATCTGGCTTGATCTGAGGCTTAGAGCACCAGGCGGTGTGGTTTACCGCGCACTGGATGCACTTAATAATCAGTAGGTTGTATATTAAACGCCACTGCAGTTATAAGATATATAAAAATATATTAGTTTATTAACTGCGCCTGTAGCCTTCTGTAAGTAAGAAATTTCGGATATGAAAACACTCCTTAAAATTCAATTACCGCTTAAAACTAGTATAAAATTTATTTAAAATTTCGATTTCTTTACATAAACTTAGTTAGTAGGAAGCTATTGCGTCATTCTCTCTTCATAGTAAATATACATACATACAAGTGTAGGTTTGGCATTTTTGTTCTGATGCTAGTTAGCTCAGAGGTCTATTTGTGGGTCGATTACGGATGGCAACCGAACTATAATTGCTTTGCCAGTGGCTGAAATGATACTACAGTTGGCAGCTGACAACTGAGTTTCTATATTGGCAACTGCATTTTTGTGGTTGCCCCGAATATTTTAATTCAGAAAATTTTCTTAACTTTTTAGCTGTTGCTGCAGCTTTTTTTACTCAAACCTTGGTTGCTGGTGCTTCAAAATTCTATTATCTTCAACTTCATGGTACTTAAATATAGTGAGTGGAAAGTTGTGTTGCTATCCATAATAGACCCATTAATTTGTCGGTTTAATATGTAAGTAGAAGATTTTTGCTTGTCTTTTTTCTTGTGAAGTTAACAACATTTGTTTGTAACGAAATTTTCCTGATTTGAACTTGTTTTTTAAACTGAGTAGTCCACTTGCAAAGTGCGCTATGTAAAATTTTTTCGATTTTTAGTTTTTGGTGGGTAATCTTTCTATATTCTGAAAAAAAGCATCAAATGTTAACTCTTTTTGCAAAAGTCGCTATTATAAACTTTTAAAAGTCTCCATCTTCTGATGAACTTAGAAAGCTGCTTTACGTCGTATAGACTGTTATGTCATGTTATGTTATGTTATAATTTTATTTTGCTCTTAATTATCAGAAGAATCAATTTAGATGTTACTTATTGTCGTAGTCGTTATTTTTTTAATTTATGGCTTAGTATTACAAAATCAAATAACGCTGTTTGGAAGTGGGCTACTCAACTATTAAATGCAACCTGTAGGTGTTTGCAAAGAAGTCTTAAATCAAAATTTCCAATTTTGTCAATTTTTTCATCTATGCGACTTTTAAAGTTCGAGTTTTCTGCTTACTTTGTAATATAATTTCTTAACATAAGCAATTTTAAGCGCCTTAAAATAAGTTTTCGCATTACACAATACTAAAAAAAATACTTAGGAATACTAAATACGTACGCATATACATACATGCATATAAATAAGCACATACATACATATATTATATAAACATTAGCTAGTTATATGTAATGTGATTATAGAAATTTGCCAAGTGTGAAAAACGTATAGATAATATGAGTAGAAAATAGGAAAAAATTAAGCAAAAAAACTGTGCATTAGGCCCGATGAGCTGTACTTACTACATAAAAATATGTGTGTATTTCAAATTATTCAATTATCAATCATATATTATTTACCTACAACTTATTTTATAAAACATGCAACTAATAATGTTGTTTTTTTTTTGTTCTTATTTCTTAAAAATAGGCGTGAATCAGAATCGTTCCTCCCACCTTTTTCTTTCCGTGCAATGTATACTCAAAGATTGCGTCATCAGTATATTGGAATTTTACAAATCCCTACTGATACCCAACTACTGTGTAGGCAAATAATTAAACGAAAACAGAAAACTCAAAAGGCCAATTGTTGTCCGCCACAATAATCCCGTTATACTTATAGTAGTCGTAAGTTCAAATTAATTTCAATACAATAATAGATTTTAATAATTTTAGTTGATCATGGAAATAGTATTTCATGTAAAATACATACTATTGTCATAAAGCATAAAACAGCAAGAAAACATTGTGAAGATCATGGAAAACTAATTGCGCATTATTGTCATTTGATTCATATAACACTTGCAGGCTATGATGCATATTAATATCACATACATATACATATTTGTATGCTGCACTCTTACTAAAACGACACACTGTTCGAAATTATTTTTGTTTTTTCCTATTGGTAAAAGATTACTTGTATGCTACTTTAAATGCATTCTCCTCATTTGCATACATTTTGTTCTTTAAATATTTTCATAAGCTCAAAAATTTAAGCAAAGAAATATGCGTCTTGCCGTAATTAGTTTGTGGCGACTAATGTGAAACGAGCTTGAACCAAAATTCACTTTCTGCCTAGCATGTTGGAGAACATGTAGTACCAAATTTTTTATGATCACAAACTACACAGCACCACAAAATGCATCGATATCTTCGCAAGTCACATTCCTCCACGCTTAACAGCTCTCAACGGCCTCCTCTATACATACATCTGTTCATTTGGCTTAAAAGTATTTGTTCTTTTTCTATAATTATACTAACGCTAACCAACTCGTATCTCTGTCTTAAAATCAGAAACAAAAAATAATGTCCATCCAAAATGTATAATTAAAAAAAAAAATTATAATTGTATAATGTGTAATACACCTTGTGCCCATCTATGACTCTTCTGTTGCATTATAAAACTTTCATTTCATGCGCCGAATGTCTATTTTTTACTCTTAGTTCAATAACTCATTTGTTGTCCACTGCATATTTTCATTTGTTTAACAACTCAGCAGAGAGCGCACAGCAAACAGAGCTTGTGCAAATTTTTTTGTTGTCGTCTATTTAAGATCCTTCGATCATCCAGCTATTTTACACATTTTTGATTGCTTTATTTGATTGTTTTGCAGAGATAAAAGAAAACACAGACAGCCAACCAATTATTCGAAAGGTGTTTTGAAAGCAACACGGCTGCTACTTACTTAACTCTTAAAATTATGCTTTATATTTTTGCAATTATAAACACATATGTACGTTCGTAATAGTTTTAAAAAATTATCTCAAATTAATTTATGTTGTAAAGAAATAAAAATAAAAATAAAAATAATAATGATACTCTAATAATATGTGGCATTTTTTTTTTGTCCGTGGAATGTTACGATTTATTCGACTTGAAATCGTCTTCTTAAGCAACCGAGGATGATTTAACTAAGAGCCTTTGGCTGTTCTTCTACGAATAGATCTTCTACCGTGAAATCATATTTCGGTGTCAATTAGCCCGGAATTGTGGGTCGCTATCTATCTGCATGAGGGGTAGTTATCGATCGTATTCATAGACATACTACGTATCAATACCGATGATGATAAAATTAACAAGTCAGCAAATTACATTTCAGACTTTTTATACCTCAGCCTGCATCTCTGTGGAATTGCTATTTCGAGGAACTACAAAGGCAAAAAAAAGCAAGAAATAGCTCTATGCGCTAATAGATCCGCAGGCAAAGAATGCATCTCCAGCTCGAAGCAAATGGACTCGGAATAATCGTAGATGCCGTCTAATAAATCTTCCAAGGACTGTCATCCTAGCAGCATTCTATGATATTACAACAACAATATCAGCCTATGGAGGCCGCCCGCTAACTATGAACCTTCGACCGTAACAGAAAAAAAAAGTTCGATAGTCACCGTTGAGTTTAAAATATTTTTGCAAGGCAATCACTAATTTTTTAATTTTTTTTTGTGCTGAACGTAGAAGTCGCCATGGCGCAGAAGCATGGACAATGACAACATCCGATGAGACGGCTCTTGGAGTATGCGAGAGAACGATTTTGCGATAGATTTACAGTCCTTTACGCGTTGGCGACGGCGAGTACCGCAGACGATGGAACGATGAGCTGTAAATATGTGTACGGCTCCGCTGGCTCGGCCTTGTTGTTCAAATGGACACCGACGCTCCAGCCCTGAAAGCATTCAACTCGGAAGTCGCTGGTGGTAGCAGAGGAAGAGGGAGGCGCCCAATGCGATGGAAAGACCAAGTGGAGAAAGACTTGGCTTCACGTGGCATTTCCAATTAGCGTCAGTTGGCACAGAAGAGGAGCGATAGGCGTGCTTTGTTGAACTAGGCCAAAGGGGTGTAGGCGGTTACAGAGCCAAAGAAGAAGAAGAAGAAGAAGAGAGGCCTCAAGTACCCCGATCTAGTACTTACCCACCAGATCTCAATTCCTATCACCCTGATTTCTGTAAATTAAATCTCGTCAAAAATTATTAATCTTTTGCCAGGATTTATTTTGGTTATTCTAGTAGAACTATTTAAAAAAAAATATATGTACCTACATATTTTTATTTCCGAATGTAGGTGTCACCGAAAAATTTAAAAAGGTGACTCCCTGGTGCGACCAAAAAAAAATAAAAAATTGTGGTGCCAAAATCCTTTGGACTCAATTTTTTATTAAAGGTAGAATAAAAATATAAATAAACATATTTTATTAACACAAATGAACGAAGAACAATTAAAACTTCCACAAAATTACGAATGCCGACTATTACCTCTACATTCGGAATTCAGTTGCCGCAAAGCTTGTTACTTTTTTATAGTAGTTTACAGCTTGGCCCAATCAGGATATTGTTTGGTGTCTGGATACAGAACGAAGTGCCAAGTTAGAGCAGTTATGTAGATAAGTAATATTGCTGTAATTGTAGGTATTATACCGGCAATAGCCTTAAAAGAAAAAGAAACAAATAATTAGTTCATAGTTTAACAAAGGGTTCGTCGAATGGGATGAGGATGTTCAAATGCAAATGAATGGTTCGAGTTTCCCTTCGAATGCAGTTTCCGAAATTTGAGCAACTTTGGCCAGGATGGTTGCAACTCTTTTGTAAGACAACTGAAAGATAGTAGGCAACAGAGTTTGAAATGGTAGTGGTATCCACCAAAGTGAGCTAGTGGACTGGCAGTCTGGCAAAAGAGTAGATCAGCTCAAGCAACGACTGTTGTTAATATTTATTTTTTTTATTTAAGTTTTGTTCTCGTTTGATTAATTTTTTTTTTTAATTTTTATATTTTGTTTTGGAAAGCAAAATATTTTTTAATGTAATTTAATTTTTGGAAATATTTCTTTTTTTTTTAATTTAATTTATTTTTTAAAATAATTTTTTTATTTTAGAAAATTATTTTTTTCATCTAATTTTTATGACCTTTTCTTTTTTTTAATTTTTAGATTTTATCGTTGTAAGAAGAAAAAATATATTTTTAATTCCGTTAGCTTTATGGAACTTTGTTTTCTTTTTTCCACAATTTTTTTTTTCTTTTTGAATTTACCTTTCTTTGAACTTTTAGGTTTTATTGATTTAAACAAAAAATATATATTTTTTTTAAGTTCGTTTAATTTGTAATGAATTATTTTACTTCTTCTTTATCAAAATTAGTTTTAAATTTAATGATTAAATATATGCTTGTGTCTTGCCAAAGTTTATGATAGTGTTGTTAACAGGAACTACTCACCATTTTCTTAGTGCCGATCTTCGCATTCGCCGCTATGAAAGCATTTGGCGGCGTACTAAAGGGCAAAAGCAATGCAACACTACATCCCATAGTTCCGGGGAGAATCAAATTTAACGGATGCGTTTTGGCGCCACGTGACTAATGGGGAAATAAAAATAAGGAGTAAATTTAAATAGCTAGTAGCCAGCTCTTAAGAAAAACAAAAAACGTATATAAACAAATAATTTTTAAGCAAAAAACAAAACCCTGTGAGGTAACACCTAAAAAAAGTTAATTATAGAAATCGGTTGATGTGGTCCAAAGTTGTGCAATAACATACCGACATAAAAAAAATATGCTCCGACGAATTGAAAACCTCCTTTTTGTAAAGGCGGTTAAAAACACTCAAGTGAAAAAGAAATTTTCTTCTATCGAAATTTCTTAAAGAAATTACACCACCCTGAAAAAAATACAAATTACACATACACTTGAAATGAAAAGTGGGTGCATGGTGTATTTGCAATGTTTTTCTACTTAAAATTTGTTTGTTATTTTTTATACAAATAAGGTTCATGCTTTAATCAAAACCACATAAGTCAAACATTCAAACTTTGTAGAGAACGGAGAAAAATTCAACAAATTTTCATCTAAAGTTTGAACTTTTTAATCTGAAGTTTTAGATAAATTTTTGGTACGCAGATAGATCGGTTATGTAATTCTAGTGAAACAAGTGAAAGAAATCGCGCTAAGAAATCGCGTTGATTTTTAATGAATTTTTTCCGACGGATATTGCGGATTTATGCATATAACTAGTGCAATTTATAAAATATAGCGTTAATTTTTTTAATTTTGTTTGCAAACGGTCTTGCGCATTTTATTCTACAAGAAATTCCCTTTTATATGGTTAAAAGTGCAAAAAGACCTCAGCAATAAATTTTTTTTTAGCCGCTTAAAAGTCGCACTTGTTTTACTAGAATTAAATCTGTGTACTCAAAATTTTTCTAAAAATTCAGACTAATAAGTCAAAAATTTAGACGAAAATTTGTTGAATTTTTCCTAGTTCCGTATAAGGTTTGGACGTTTGACTTATGTGGTTTTGATTAAAGCATGACCTGACCATATTTTTATAAAAATATAACAAAAAAACTTAACTTGAAAAACGTTGCAAATATTAAGGAAAAAACACAATGCACGCACTTTTGATCGCCAGTGTATATTAATTATCCATTTAACTTGTTAACTAATTTGAATTAAAATTTTTAAACTCCTCAAAAACATTCTAAATCTTCAACTTGAAGATTTCTTAACACTCTTTCGTTTAACAACCATTTAATTAAACCCGATATCGGTGGCAACCCTATTCAAAACATTTTCACCGCCCTATTCCCACAACACTGACAAAATTCATCATATGACTATTATCACAATTACTGCGCCTAAAACACAATATAAACATTGATTCGCCGTTGTCACTTAATCAGTAGGTCATAACAATAAACTGACAATTGTCATACGACAGCGTAAAATAAATTTGCGGCATAGTATTAGGCGCAGTAGTAAAGACAATAGTCAGCCGCTGAGTTTTGTCAGTGGTGTGGGAATAGGGCGGTAAATTCAATTCAAGTTGATTTTGACGTTTTTTACAGGTGGCAACCCTCCTACATGAAGTTTAAAAATAAAAGCTTGCCAAAACCATTTCATTTGATAGCCATATTTTAATAATTCATTTAACTTGTTAGATAATTTGAATTTAACTTTTAGCAGGTGGCAACTCCTTTCCAAAAAAATAAAGCCTTATTACACATCTATAGGTCAAGCCCTATTATTTGATACCTCAATTTTCAAAATCGAGCGATATGTTTGTGTTATGTTATGTGATGCTATCATGGATTCCGTCGTTATCACGAAGTTCTCCGTCAAATTCGAAATTCGTGAGAATGGTATCGATGATTTCGAGTTAATTTATTTTGATTTAGAATTATTAAACCAAAACATAAAGACAAACAAAAACCAAAGGCAGCACTAACTGCGAACGCATCGGAATTGCTGATAGCATTTCTCCCGAATTCGTGACCGGAGATTTTTTCACGACGAGAGTTCACTCGGAATCTGTGATAGGCCTTTATAACTTTTAAATTTTTTATTACTAAATTTTGTTAGTAAATTTTCCGTGCTTTAACTTACCACTTCGCTCAACAGTGGTATGACAACATTACAAGCTGCCACATTTGTACGCAGCGTTGAGATAAGCACACCAAAAATTATAGCAAGAAATTGTAAGAGTGGCACTGGCAAGGACTCAAAAAATGTCATTTTGTTCCCAAGCCACGGCGCTAAACCAGTCTCTAAGAAAGCCTTTGCCAACGCATAGCCGCCACCTAGAAAATAAAGAGCAAATGCGTTTATGAAAAGTAACCGAACTATTTATTGTGTATGTATGTACGAGTATGTCTTACCAAGTACAAGAATTGTGTACCAAGGAAAATTTGATTCAACATATTTCCACGAGAGTAAAGGTAAGGTGGCCTTATCCGGAAAAGGACCTATGAAATTCATACATATATCATTAATGAGTGTTAGACTTAATTATTATAAGAGCGTGACAGATGTGGCACTATATTTCGTATGCAATATATTTCGAAGAGGCTGTCAAATTGAGAAATTTCAGAAAGCAGTTGCATGAGCAGTCACACCTTGCATGTAAAGTGTCTTTCCAAAGAGTTTTTTTTTATTTCCGAAAGACGAGCAAGCACGAGCAAGTTGAAATATATTTCCGAAATCGATTTGCGCACTTTGAGTTGCAGTCACACCTTGCAACCTTCATTTCCGAAACTGATTTTTGCATTAGTTATGTTTTCAGTACGTAAGGATGAGGATCTAGGCCGAAATCGGACAGAGGCATAACAAAACCAAGGGTAAATGCCAGAATTGAAATAAGCGAGTACCAGAAACGAAATATAAAATAATAACAAAATCAAATTTTGCTTTCAAATATGAAGGCGTAAGCTACCTGGCACACTTTATATTATTTCATTATGGATCTTTCTGGCTGTTCACACATGGAAATAAAATTTCTCTTTCTCAATTTGACAGCGAATTGCGTGGAAAAGTTGGAAATATTGCCAAGTCTGATAGGCTGTATAGATGTGCGTGCAAGTATATGAACTCACCATATCCGCAACAAAATTTGCAGCAAACATAATTGGCGGGTATACAAAAGAGCATTGCAACAAAGGGAATAATTACCGTTGGCGCTGTTATATAACTAGAAGAAAAAAAAACAAAAACAAACTTTTAATATAAATTAAAATTATAATCCCACGACCGCCGAATATCCGCTTGCCATAATTGATTCTTCTTACTATTTCTCTTGTATGAGATCCGCCCAGCCTGGCATAATGTCTGGCGATTGAAATATAAGCAAGAATATCATAAGCAAATATAAGATAAGAATTTGAATTTCTTGTAAGTTTATAGTTCCAATATTCTCAAATTTCTGCCTCACTGAGGCTGCCACATCTTTAGAGTTGATACCAAAATTGAATAGCGCAACACCAGTCTCGCCTTTGGGGCTAAACAATCCAAGATTTGTAATTAGAAGAATTGGATACAAGAGTATTAAAGCTACTAGAACCCAAGGTAGATTGTAGACCATGAATCTGGGGAAAGTAATATGATCCGTGGCGTTCGGGTATAAGCTGAAAAGAGAGTAAAGGTAATAAATTAACGAAGTTGGAAAAAAGCGATTAACCTCCCCAAGGAGAAACTTAGAATACTAACAGGTATGCTTACAGCACACTACAGACTAAGAGGGCATCTCTATGAGCTAGGAATATGGTCAAATGACCTATATAGCTTCTGTAAACCGACATGGGAGACACCACTACATATTCTTATTGAGTGCGATGCCATCTGCAGAGGACGTGAGAGAAGACTAGGCTCGGATGTGCCCACAGCTTGAGCACATTCACTTCCTACCCCCGAAGGCGCTGCTGCGGTTCTTAAGAGATGTAGGATGTAGGCTAAGCGGAAGCACTGTGAAGAGGCGAGGGCAAAATAGATCACTAGGTCGCAGTGCATACCTCATTTTAATATCTATCTATGTAGTCGACTACCAAGAAATATTACTCATTAGGACTCATAAATACTGGAGATTAAAACATCAAAAGTTAATAATTGTCTTGCTGGCAATGGTTTTTTCTCCAGGCAGAGTAAACACGTGATGAATTTGGGAACCAATTTCCTTCCTTATCGTGCGAGAACGAAAAATGACACTGAATATGGTATGTCTCCGAAATAGACAAAAGTATTACGCATTGTCATCTACTATTCCGATGATATTTAAGCCAACATACCTAATTTAGGCATATGTTTCCTCGGCTATAAATTTTAGCAGCAGATTTCACGCTATTTCTATGGTGGCGGTGTTCCATAGATCTTTCTGATATCACCATATTCATCACCCTATTTAAAAATCGGAAGAAAGGGTTTAAGCTATTGTTAGGCCCTCGCATGGATGAAATACCCATTCCGATGGTTAATAACCCGAAAGTAAATGAGTTAACTTCAATATCTTGGTCATATTCTCCACACATACAACTACTACTGTAGCAACAAATTTCTCAAGACACAATTCGGCAGCACCGAAGGGAATAGACGAACGCTATTGGCAACATACAAAATGATTGACCGACCGGTTTTCAAAGTCTTCCTATTTGGCACTGCAACCGTTTTTCGATTTTGGCCGAGATCAAAAACCTTTGCCAATTGCCTCTCTCTTTTGCGGATTTACGCCCGAATACAAACTGGTGCTTCTGCCGTTAGTCCTTCCATTGTATGCATGGGCGACGTTTCTTTCATTGTTCACCCATGGATACTGGTTCTCCGCTACGCTGCACCGATGAACGAGCGGACGAATCCTAGACCAATATAAAACCACCGCCGGATCCGATAGTGTACAAATACGCCTTAAAGTAAATTCCGTGATATACTTCTACACCATCGTGAGCTCTAGCTCCGTGAAGCTGCGTTTCGTGAAGACATTAGGTCTTAGTCCAAAATTTGAATTCTGTATGTTCACAGCAGCTGTACGTCCGATCTTATGCTACTGTTTCTTGGTATGGTGGACAGCCAGTATAATCATGATAAACTAGGGAGAGTTCAGAGGGCCACATGCTTTGGGACTACAGGGGAACTGGGACGGATGGCTCCAAAATGGAACGCGGAGTTGGAGTTCACCTGCATACCTGTGATTGGATTAAGAAGATCAATCCATTTACCCGATTTCACAAGTCTTTTCGAGGTAGAAGTATTCGCTATAGCTGAGGGCTGAGGCCTTTCAGAACGTAGCGGTCTATGTACGTCACGGCGAGCGTGTCGCCATTTTCTCACAACAAAATTGAAACTGATAAGGGGGTGTAGAACTCTTGTAAACATAGTAAGTAAAATCAACTTGTTCTAAATTTGGTGTGGGTCATCGCAAAATTTCCAAAATGAGGCTGCAGACGAGTTGGCCACATCGACTTCGATCGAGGGCCAGATCTCACTTCAATTGGAGCCATATGCAGAGAAATTTATATCCACGTCCTTCAGAAATCGGCGCAAAGGTGGCGCATGTCGGCAGGCTGCCGTATATCCAAATTCATGTGGTCAGTGCTATACACTTTCTACTGTCCTTAAAAGCCATACAACTTCAATGACTTCCGCAGGAATGAAAACGAATCTGGAAACAGTTGATCACCTTTTATGAAAATGTTCAGCTTTAATTAGGAGCAGGAACACCATACTGCCACCATTCTAAATTGACCTAGCTCCGTGAATGCCGTAATTGGACTCCAACCACTACCTGTAGCAGAGGAAGAATTTAAACTGTGTCTGGAGACGAGTGTTACTCTGGGACAGTTGCAACTTAAGCTTACTTAGACATGCTCAGCTGATCGAAAAACCCTACGAGACCCTAAGAATGACTGCACAGCAGAACGATGCGGTAGGATTGCATCCTCATTTTCTCCTAAGTTGTCCGCCTTTCTGGATCTTAAATTATTTTGTTTCCACTTCGCAACCCTCTCTGAAGAAGGACTCAGATACTCTTACCTAATCCCCAAAATCTTTTCTTAAGGTACTTTTTTTTTATACTTCACGAGGACTCAAGTAATGTTTGAGTTTTCGGCGATGCCTCTTTCCAATTTTATTTTTTTCTTTTAGTGACCCCATAATAGAAAGATTCGGATATCGATTTAAATATTTTTGGTTTAGGAGAAAAGAAAGACCGGACGACTGATATTGACTTTTGCTCCTCTTACAATTAGGTATGCAGATCGAAACAAGAACAATGAATATGATCGTCCTGATCTTATGTATATACATATATGGTAAGTTAGATATAAAGAGTATGCACTAGGATACATCTAGCCCTTAGAATAGGTCCCGGTGGTTGGGAGTGTATGTGCAATAGATGCGTAAGCTGAATCTCTTTAGGTTGTACCTCTTGTTAAGCTCCTAGCTTGGCGAAGGCCAAGTCTTTTCCTTTCCGAGCCCTTCTTTTATCGCGCTCGGATCTACCGCAAGGAAGGGTTCAGGTCCTATCGGGATCGAGGCAGCAGCCATTCTGGTTAACTAATCAGCTTGCGACTTTCATGAACCTTAGTATCGATGTCAGTATTTTTCTTAGCCAAGGCATTAAACTTCTCAATACACAAGTGGATCAATAAGGATTTGACCTCAAAGGATGAAAGAGAGATAAGACAGATTCTTTAAGGAAAAAAGAAGATAAAAAGAGGCATATGTAACTGATGTACACAACTCGGCACCGAACATATCAATGCTCGGCAGGTTGGTAGACGGAAAAACTAATTGTGGGGGCACAGTTTCTTGCCAGAAACTACGCTACCGCCAAAACATACGGATTCACGTTGTTGTGAGGTCTAAATAGAGCCAGTAATTTTATTTCAGTAGCGGGTGTAGTACTCGAGGGAGTTCAGGGAGACTCAGTCGATCGCGAGTTTCCATCAAAGAAGAGCTTCTCATAAAAATAACTTGCATTTCGGAGATTATAATATTTTAGATAACTGGCCTCAACAAATTGTTATAGAACAAATTAATAGCCGAAGGTGATAAAACAGGTGTCAGATCTTAATTTGAGATCTAATAAATCGATGCTTAACCCGCAGGGAAAATTAATACCTTTCAAAAAACCTACCACGGTTTATATATACAACCGCATGCCACCCGGAGTGTGTCCGCGTTTGTCTAGTTAGAACATCAGAATAAACATTGTGCTGGCCAAGTAGTCTGCGCTGAAGTCCTTATATAAGCGCAGAGAGAGAACTTTTAGACTTCTTAAAAACTCCAAAACAAATGAGCGCTGGTTAGGCTTTTGGCTGGAGCGATTGGCTGGTTCAGACAGAGTCTAGTCAAGTAATGTAGGAATGATCTTTTAACTAAAGAAGTAAAGCAAGGCTCACGAAATCGGTCATTAGGGTTTTCTCAAAGTTTGTTATTATATTATTCTGTTGCCTACTCACATTTGATACATTCCTTTGCCAGCCAAGTGTGTTCCCGAGCCGATGAGTGTGCCACAGCCGCCTATTGATGCCGCATAACACACACCCAAGTAGTAGCCAATAGCAATAGGAGAGGCCTCTCGGTCTCTGTAGATTCAAAAGAAAAAACTTTTAGCGAGTGATATTTCAAGCATTTAGCAAAATTACGCACTCCTCCTCCTGATCAGGCTTATTCTCCTCTCGGATTTTCAGTCCACCCTGCAAATACAAATCACACAAATATTTACATGGGTACGCGGATAAATCGCTGCCCCATCAAATATTACATACCACTTCAAACTCGTTGAGCACCGCCTTCACTATGGGCAACATTAGCGCTACAACAATGGTGTTCTGCATCCACATGGACAAAAAACCCGTAGTGATGATAAAGCTAAAGAGCACACTGGAAAAAAAATTTGACTAGAAGTTTCCTTGCAATCAATGGAAACATTACTGCCTACCGCTTGGGACTGCAACCAATCGTGGTGAGTAAACCGAGTGCTAAACGCGTATGCAAATTGCTATATTCTCCAGCAAGAGCGACTATAGTGGAACCTATAAAAATCGCCAAAGAGCTGGTTAAGAAACTCTTGCACACATCATCCGTATCCTGCAATGATGGATTGAGATTGTCCATTTTCAAGTGAATGGCTTTATCATAGAAAATAAATACTTCTTCCTACCAAAATACCAAGAAATGGCATCACTGCAATCGGCAGCAAACCAGTCACCTGCAGCGGCGTTACCTCGGCCAACCAGAAGACCGCCATTACCACGAAGACATAAATGGTGCGGTTATGCTGTCAACAAAAAAATTTAATCGAAAGTAAATTAAATGGAATTATTTTGCACTCTGTTAGTACTGGGGACTTACCGGTTGATATGCTGGTACCATTATTGGCAAGAATACTATGGGCACTAGAAACATGAGGATGCCACGCCAATGGTGTTTCCAAAGGAGTCCGTACGTGTATTGGCATGAGGTATTCTCTTTGCTGGTAGGATGCAACAATCACTGAACGTATTTAAAGCTCTGAAAAGCTAAAGGAAAACGCTGCAAGAACTTACTCATCATCCATCTTTTTTGACAAAATAACGATAAGAAATGCAGTCTATTGAAGAAATCTAAAAGAAAATATCGGAATTAAATTTTGCCGATTAATTCAAGTTTTTGACTTTAAATTTTTACAGCAAAAACCAGGCGTAGTTTACTTTTTAATTTTTTTTTTTCACTATTGCGAAGTACCGTTTAGGGAACTTGCACGACTGATACATACATATCGTCCCCTCAATATAACAATAGCGTATAATTTTTTTTGGGTTTTGAGAAAATCGAGTTTAAAGTTTTTGTTTTTTTTTGTTTGAAGGAAATTTTTGAACAAGAAATTATACACCATTTTGTCCAATGACATTTTGACCCACTTTGTGGAAGTAGAATTTGACGAAATTTTGACCAGACATAGAATCAATGATGGAGATTCTAAATATGCAATAAAAAAATAATGGCGTATGAGCACATACGCTATTGTTATATTGAGGGGACGATATGTATGTATGTTCAGGATTAAGTGGTTGGTTGAGTCTCGTCTTATAGTTTTGCACTTAGTACCATGACATTCAACGCTTGTGTGTAGTCAGTCAAAAGTGTATGTATTCAGGTAAATAAAAAATCTGAAAGTTAAGCTGATCAGCGAGAGTAGCGGCGATCATATCGTCGCAGACTTGTGGACGTTTGCTGGCGGTGCGCCCAAAGACCATTAGATAAGAACTCAGGAATGAGACAAGAGTCTCCGTTTTCAGGTACAAAGAAACTTAACTCCTGTGAGGATTTGACAGATTAGTCAGAAAAGCGGTGGCCTACTGGACGGTGGATATAAATATCATCGGAGAAAATTCCTCTTACGTTCCCCAAAGGTTGAAGTCCTAACAAGTCTGGCTCCATCTTTGACAGGGCAAAAGTACTGTGGGCGACAGAGCCCTTTGAACCTTTCAACGTTGCAGGCAGAGATGGCATATATCCGACATTAGTTGAGAGATGCATTAATGACATCATCGAGCCGCTGTTCTGTCTATTTGGTGCAAGTTGTTCTTGGGGATTCATATCGTATTCTTGGAGGAAGGTATCCGTCTTATTTATTCCTAAGCGGGCAACAGGCACCTCGACTCACCAAAATCATACAGACCTATTAACTTAACTTCCTTCATCTTAAAGACCGTCGAACGAATGCTAGACCTACATATTAGCGATAAGCTGAGACACGCAACCCCATTACACATTCTGCCCAACAGTGCTTGGTTAGTAAGATCGAAAGGACCCTCGATTTTAAGGAGGTTGTCTTATGTGGCTTTCTGGACATGGAGGGAGATTTTGATAACACCGCCCATGGATATATCTCAAAGGCATTGGTTCAATGAGGCATAGATCTTTCCACTGTCGGAAGGATACAGTGCTCCGTGATATGACATCTTCTCTAGGCAACAGCTCTGTGAATATCAGAGCCATTAGGGAGTGTCCACAGGGAGGTGTTATTTCTCGTTCACGTCGAATTTACGGATCCTCCGACGCTATTCCATAGGAAATCTGCTTTGGAAGGAAATTCCAGACCGACATGTCTGGTCAAATGGTTTACCTGAACTAGGTCCAAGATATGTACACTGGTACACAGACGGATCAAAGATAGAGGGCAGAGCAGGTGCGAGTGTCTTTGGATCTGGCACCGAAATTTCTATTGCAATGTGATCTTGGTCCACGGTGTTACCAGGTACTAGCAGTCTCAGTTTGTGCAAGACTGAACCCTGAGCAGGGTTTCTAGTTATCACTTCAGACAACCAGGTGGTCATAAGGGCTCTATACAATAGGACAATCACCTCCAGGCACATCAAGCAGTGCTTTGACAATATAGAATTCTTGGCAGCAAGGAATACGTCATTACTATGCCAGGATAGTTCGTGATCGTAGGTAACGAGGCGGATTTCGTCTGTACTTGTGGGGCCGTAACCATGCTGTGGACTCACATTGTCCTCCCCGAGGCTCATAATCGTCGCGTGGGTAAACTTAGAACACAGTAAGTATTGGGGAGAGGTAGGCGGCCTTAAATAAACCAGACTTTTTTGATTATCCTTTTGCTAGGAAAGATATAAATCTATGGAACAGGTCCAAAATCAAGTTGCTTATTGGTTACCCAACTAGCCGCTATCACCTCTCACATGCGCCGGATCGGTCTTTTCTCGGATAGGGATTGCCGTTTTTGCCTTGAATACGAAGTGACGTCGGAGCACATTATGTGTGATTGTCCAGCATTAACCAGACTACAACTGCAACACTTCAGTTCTTCCACAGTCGATGCCCTTAATGTCAGGAATTCGTCTACCAAGATACGTTTAGCTTTTATTAGGGAGACTGATAACATCTTGGGCTGCCAGGGTTAGCAACCATCGTAGATATACTAAAGATCTTCTAGGTCGCGATATCCCTTATTTTTCTTGCACCCATAGAACTTATTACATTGCATTAAATTCAAAACACAAACAATGCTCAGCAGGACTGCACCATTCATAGTGTCTATTGGTGGAATAAGATCTGAAAAGATTCCAGCTCCTAATCAACCTCACAAAGGATCAACTTAGAAATGACCGCAGGTTTTCTCTACAAGATATTGAAATTTAGCTGAACATATTTTTCGCTTTTGTGACTCGTCCAAAGGAAGTATCATCGCACCTCCTCGTTGAGTGTGATTCCGTAGCTCTAAACAGGAAAGGGGCCTAGGCTCAATGTGGCCACAGTATGAGCACATGCATGGATGCCCTACCCGCTAAAGCCAAACAGAACATTCTGAGGGATTTAACTTTCAAAGAAGTATTCTGGCAGAGAGCACAACAGGTAGATGATGTATGAGAATGGTGTCCAGTTGATTAAGTTTCAAGTTGTAATATAATATATATCAATACATATAAGTTTTACTTCTGCAGTGTGGCCCAGACGCACTTATTTTTTTTCTTATGAAATTTTGGCAAAACATGTGGTAGAGTGGATAAAATAATATAAATTGGTCTAAATTTCAGATTTATTCCAAAAATTTTCCACATATTTACAATGTGCTCACAAACCTTATTATTTATTTAAATAGTAGAAATATTCTACTTTCTAAATCCACGAAAAAATCAAAAATTGGTTAAAAATTAACAGAACTAGAAATTCTTTAGTGCCGGAAGTAATGCTAATATGGTTTTTGAAGAATAGGTTGAGAATTTGGGGGTGTTTGAAAAATTTTGGAAACAGTTTCGTGAATTTCGACCTTTTTTAGGTGACTTAAAAAGTTCGTGCATTTTTTTTTAATTTGTAACACCGTGTAATTTGGTTAAATCAACGAAGTTGAAAAACATGTAAAATGGAGTCATCGTTTTTAACCTGGCAGCTTAGATACATACTTCATACACATATGTATATGCAAATTCCAAAGATGTATTTTTTATATACATACATGTAGAATATCCCGGTACAGTGGTGAGTTTCGCACACATAACACAATTGGACTCGAATATTTGTGTTCCACTTGTCATTGCGTTAACCCATCTACCTGACATACATACAAGACAAGTTAAGTACAAAACAATAGTGGTAGAATGCAGATGACTACATATAAAGAGAGAATATGTGCATAAATGTAATAGTACTACATACATACATATATGTATTTGGATTCTATGGACGGACTATATACACACTCACTACTTGAAAATTTGTACATATAGGTACCAGGGATATTTCCAAAGTTCTGGGAATTTAGCTATAATTTTTATTATTTTTTAATTTTCGTCAATACTGCAATGTAGTGTTCAACATAATCTCCATTTAACTGAATACATTTGCCCCAAAGATAAACTAATTTTCTTAAGCTGTCCTCAAAGAACTTTTTCGGTGTCTCCTCAATCCACCTAATTATGGCACGTTTTACTTCAGTTAAACTTTCAAAGATTTTTTTTTCAAATCTGGGCACATATGATAATCACTGGGTGCAAGATCCGGGGGAGTTGGGGTAATTAGTGTGGCTGTAATTCCCATCGTAAATCCTTCAAAACATTGCAATCACGGACGCTTATGCAACATTCCAGGCCGTTTTTTGACAAGTGCCTGTCGCAGTGGTCCGTTGAATAATTTCTGATGTTTTCACACCTTCTTTCCACAAAAAAAAAAGAAAAAAACGTTATTCCTCTTTGAGATTTTACTGCGTCTTCCATGGTTACAAAAACATTGCTATGAGAACGCGCCTATATCAGTCGAACACCTAAATCAGACTGAACACTATTGCACTAGATAGTTGCATAAACCCATCAAGACTTGTCTGGCACCAATAAAATTGCCTATAGGTAATTTAATTATAGCACAGTTCCTAGAACTTTGGAAACATCCCTCGTATTAGCGTGTCTATGCGAAGATCCCTTGTCGAGTGTATGCCGCGTTGTCAGCATGTTTACAGGTATGCAATATTCACATGATGGGAATTATTGAACATAATACAGAATCGAGTGCATTATTTTGAAAAGGCGTCACAGTGGTACAGTGGTGGAAAAAACTGGTACTTAAAATTTTATACTTTCATGAAACATGAAACAATTTCCAAAATGAGTTACATTGCGTTTCGACTATGTAGCTGTTTACATGATTGAACACAATTAGATGCTGCGCTGATCCTGTAAATAAATCAAAATAAAAGTTGAACTGTTTTCTCCAAAATCTGTTTAATCTTATTTTTTAACGTATATTTTATCTAATTTTTAGTTGAGCTTCAAGTCCAAATCAGCTAAATCAGAAGATTCATAAAGATCATGGCCTACCTTTACAATATCAAATTACTTAAGAAGTTAAGCATCGAGTTCGTTTCAAGAGTTTATAGATCCAAAACTTATTTTATAAAAAAATATATTGTCCTAACTTTTGTCCGCAGCTTCGCCAACGTCAAGTTCGGTTTAACTTAACCAGCCTTTCATAGCTATCTTTGTACTGTATCCTTTTGAAATAATTTTAAAGGTGGCTTTTCTTTTAAAAAATGTATCTGCATAAAAGCACAAACTAGTCATATAAAACAGGTGTCAACCTTTTTAAAAACTTCTCAAATTAAAA